TATTATATCAGAACTAAATCGATACAAAATGATTTATGTTTGGATGAGGAACGAAGGAGAACATACATATTGATTATCAAATAATGGCGTTCGTGATTTTCGGTCCGTTGTGGTTTATGTGGGAAGGGACATAACTATAGAATACATGTACACTATATAAGAGTTATGTCCCTTCCAACGTAAAAAGTTTAGTGCATTTTTCGCCTTGATATAAAATTGTATTATGTAATGGTTCACATTTCTAATTATCATTGATGAACTTTTCTTTAAGTTCTGTCTTAAACGAATATAAATGATTCGACAACTCTACCACCCCCTCTGCGGGAAAGGTGAAAGCCCCCCCCCCCCCTAATTATACTTATTCCTCCTTCAGAGCTGATTCACCACCATTCTTATATTGTTGTCTTTATCAGGCGATGTGCACGAACACTACTTGTGTTGATTCTCTTAGTTTAATGCGCTTAAATGTCAGAAGATTAAGAAATCAAATTAGTTACTTAGAATCTTTAACAAATGACATAAATATCCTTTGCTTAACCGAAACCCATTTATCAAGATAGACGGTTTTTGTGACAATCCCTTCAGAAGAGATAGAAACATGTCAAAATACGGTTTCTACATTCTACATTAAACATGACGAATATTATTACTGAGCCAACTGGAACCACTCATTCATCCTCAACTTTACTTGATCCAATTATAGTTAGCGACAACACACAGGTTTTTCTATCTGAAGTTATAGTAGTTGATAAAATTGTAAGTGATCATGATGCTGTGTTTGCAATTACAGATGTACCAAAACAAACAGCAAAAACGTTTAAAAGAAAGAAAGGTATGGCTCTACAGTGAAACCGATATTTTCAAATTAAGAACTCTTATTAATAATATATCAATTCCTTGTAGATTTAAATAGTATGTGCGATTTTTTCACAACCAATATTTTACATACAGTAGATGAGTGCATCCCCTCCAAGTATGTTCAAATTCGTAAACATGATAAACCGTGGATAAATATTAGCGTTCGTAAGCAGATTCGTACGCGTGATAGACTGAAAAGGGGGTTTTCGAATAAATACTGATATGAATAAACAAAAAAATAAACGTGCCAGAATTAAAGCAAATACTCTGATTAAACGAGCCAAAGATGTTTTTTGAGAATATTGATTCTTTAATAAATGAAAATAAATCTGAGCCCAGAACATATTGGAAACTTATCAAGCTATTTATTAAAAGGCACTTCTAATACTGATATATCTCCGCCGTATGATGAATCTTCTAGTGTTACGTTATTGATGACGAACAAAAATGTGAACTACTCAATACTTACTTTACTTCCTAAACGACTTAGACAGACACAAACCATCACCTTCATTTGATAAACAAACAAATTCACTATACTTTCCGACTCACATATCACATCATCAGAAGTAGAAGATATTATACAAATATTAGATATCAATAAAGCAACAGAACCTGAAGGAATAAGTCACAGAATGCTAAAACATATAACGTAAGAAATCGCCCTTCCCCTTCCCCTTTATCCAAACAAACGGAAAGTTGCAAAAGTCATGTCAATATTTAAATCGGGCAACATCCATGCTGTTTCAAATTACAGACCTATATCATTACTAAGTTGTGTTTTTTTTGAACGAGTAGTATGTAAGCATATGTATAATTACCTTAAGGAAAACGATTTATTTCATAAATGTCAATCAGGATTTTTGCCACACTATTCATGTTCTCACCAACTTATTGAAATGTATCACTCTCTTCTTATGTCCTTAGAAAAACGCGAACACACACAGCATTTGTATTTTGTGATTTCTCTAAAGCCTTCGATAAGGTATGGCACGCAGGATTACTTTATAAACTTAAACAATATGGCATCTCAGGCAATATCTTAAAATGGATTTCAGACTATCTTATGAATAGAGAACAAACAGTATTTATTAATGAATCCGTATCTTCAGTTAAAAACACCACTGTGGGCGTATCTCAAGGATCTGTACTAGGACCACTATTATTTCTGATATTCATAAAAGATATTTCAAAAGAACTTGCTTCATTATCACGCGTATTTGCGGATAACACTTAACTATCATATTCATCCCCTACTTTTGTTAATATAGAATCTGAAATAAACTCTGACCTGAATATATTAGAAAAATGGTCGAAAGACTGGCTAATGACTTTTAATTCTATAAAAACAGAAATCATGATAGCAATAATTTTAAATCTACCCTTTCAACCACAATTAATTCTTTAATAATACTGATATTCAAATAACTGATAATCATAAACACCTTGGCGTTACATTAAGCAGTGATGGGAAATGGACAGAACATATAGATGATATTATTCGCAAAGCTTTCAAATATATTGCAACGTTAAGAAAACTTAAACTTTTATTGGGCAGAACTAATCTTGACAAAATGTATCTGACATATATCCGACCACTTCTTGAATATGCATGTGAGGTATGGGATAATTGTGGGGAAGCTAATTTATTAAACATTAAAAAAGTCCAATTAGAAGCTGCTCGGATTGTCACAGGGTTGCCCATATATACTAAACTGGAGTTATTATACACTGAAACGGGCTGGACACCATTATGCATTAGACTAATTTATACAATAAAAAATGATATTGCCCCCGAATACTTGTGCGAATTTATACCACCAATTATTGGAAACATGTCTAGATTTGATTTAAGGAATGCACACCAAATAAGAATGCCTAACTATCGACTGCAAATTATGCGAAATTCTTTTTCCCCTCAACTATTAAATCATGGAATGATCTTGATGAACATATTAAATCATCTGAAACCTTAAACATTTTAAAATCGAGAATAAACAAAAGTATCAATAAGAACGAAAATAACCTTAAACAACATTTCTTAACTTTTGGAATACGTAAATCTAACATATTACATTGTCGTTTAAGAAATCGTGCGAGTTATTTAATCCTGCATGAAGTTGTGGGCATTCCTTTGAGGATTCGAACCATTTTTTTTTTTTACCTGTCCTAAATATTATTCATCCTGTCTTTCTCTTTTTATGTTAATGTCATCATGTTACCCTGGTCAAGTAAATATTGATCTTATACTGAACGGAGATGTTAATCTAAGAAATAATGATAACTCAAGTATTGTAAGAATAGTTCAACCGTACATAGACAGAACTCGCAGGTTTGAATAGTTGCGTCCCCTACGCTTTCACTTCTTCTCACCCTTTCTTCTGCCCTCTTTTTCCTACGAGATACATATCATGAGAAGTAAATCGATAATGAATATTTATTTTGTGTATAATTTGATTTGATTTACTTACTGCCTATTACTTTTATGATTTGGTTGTGTTCGTTACAAAACATGCACTTTTCATTATACATCAATGTATTAATTTTCTCCTACCCATATATACATCTGTTATCTGAATACCGTACACAGCTAACATTTACGATCTTATATAAAACGATATACTTATCCATACTGATTATGCTATGTGGGTGGGCATTTTCCACGAAGACGGGCAAGTGGAAACGGATTTCAACAGCAAGGAAGGAATGTCAAGGAGAAAGTGCAACAAGGTACGGGATGTAATGGACAATAGACAAGCTGAAGGTGTGTGAAAAGCGATTAGTTTATCACAAGCTCCGTCTACGTGGAAAATGAAAACTCACATGACTCACAATCTAGATGAAATCAAATTATATTATGTAATAAAACTATAGTTAGCTGCGTCCAATATTTTTCGAAAAATATCTCGATCTCTTCTTTGTCACCTCACTTACCTACAATTCTTTCTTGTCATGTGTATATTTAAGTAGCTCTAACATTGCGTGATATGTATTGTAATCAATCAATTTTTGTCGACGAGGACTTTAATAAGTTGGCAAAACTTGTATCCAGTTCGTTTGCAACATCTGTTATTTGCAATAAAATATGTTTAAATCAACTGAATGCAGCTACTTATATAATAATAGACCTAAACATAAATCTGAAACTAAATATATTATTTTACCACCCTATTTTCAGACGATTCTTTCGCTAGTTTAAATTTTAAAAAAGTTCAGTATTTATTTGATACTAAAAGATATCCACAATAAGACGCTTTATATTTTATTAATATTGAAATATCCTTTCTAAAACAATTACTTATAATAAAGTTATAAAATGTTTAGCATTCGCAACGGTTTCGTTTGATTTGCAATCTGATTAAACCTTATCAAATAGAAGGCAAACTCAAATGATAAAAAGGTTCCATATTTGGTTTTATTCCTCACCTATAATAATTATACTTTATTATTTATGGCGTATGTGATGGCCAATAACTTAGATTTTCGCTTCGGCGATTTTCCACCAATCCGAGACCAATAAGGGGCGATAACTCCATAGTCAAAATTAAGTCACGACAACCGTCTATCAGATGAAGGGAAGTAACTCAAACGCTAAAACTATACCTGTGCACTAAAATTCCTTATCAGCTAATAATGTAAGTAATTCTTATCCCAAGCATGAAACAAGTCTTCATTGTGATAACTTAAATTATTATAAGAAATATTTTTTAATACCGTGATCCACACTCTGTACCGTAAACTACAGTTTGCTACGTCTGCTTGATGTAGCAGAGTGTAGCTTACAGCTGACAGTGTAGAGCGTAGATTAGGATATGGTTTAATCAGATTGTTTGATTTGGTGACGTATTTTTAATGTCAAAACTTTCCCCGAAAATGGATGCGTTTTCTGAAAGAAACTACACGCGAATCTAAAGTTTTTGTATTTTCTTTGGTTTCTGTTGTCTGTTCCTTTGTGTTGGTTTCTCCTTGGTTCCTGTTGTTGTCTTGGCTCTTTTTGTTGTATGTTCTTTTGTGTTGAATTGGTTTCTGCTTGGTTGTTGTCTGTCCTTTTGGTTTGGTTTCTAATTGGCCCTGTTGTTATATATCCTCGTGTTTTTGTTTCTCCTTGGTTTCTGTTGTTGTCTGTCCTTTTGTTTTGGTGTCTACTTGGTTCCTGTTGTTATATTTCCATTCTTGATTTCTTCTACATTCCTGTTGTTGTCTGTCCTTTTGTTGTGGTTTTTCCTTAGTTCCTGTTGTTGTCTGTCCTTTTGTTGCGGTTTCTCCTTAGTTTCTGTTGTTGTCTGTCTTCTTGTGTTTTTTTTCTCTGTATCTGTTGTTGCCTGTTCTTTTTGGTTTTTTCTTGGTTCCTGTTGTTGTCTTTTTATTTTTATTTTTTCCTTAGTCCCTGTCGTTGTCTTTCCATTTTTGGTTTCTTCTTGGTTCCTGTTGCTGTCTGTCCTTTTGTGTTGGTTTCTCCTTGCTTCCTGTTGTTATCTGACCTTTTGTGTTGGTTTCTCCTTGCTTCTTGTTGTTATCTGTCCTTTTTTGTTGGTTTCTCCTTGCTTACTGTTGTTATCTGTTTTTTGTGTTGGTTTCTTCTTGCTTCCTGTTGTTATCCGTCCTTTTGTGTTGGTTTCTCCTTGCTTACTGTTGTTATCTGTTTTTTGTGTTGGTTTCTTCTTGCTTCCTGTTGTTATCTGTCCTTTTGTGTTGGTTTCTCCTTGCTTCCTGTTGATGTCTGTCCTTTTGTGTTTGTTTCTCCTTGCTTCCTGTTGTTATCTGTCCTTTTGTGTTGGTTTCTTCTTGCTTCCTGTTGTTATCTGTCCTTTTGTGTTGGTTTCTCCATGCTTCCCGTTGTTGTCTGTCCACTTGTTTTGTTTCCCCTACGCTCCTGTTGTTGTCTTTCCATTTTTGGTTTTCCTACGTTCCTGTTGTTGCCTGTCCTTTTTGGTTTCTCCTTGCTTCCTGTTGTTGTCTGTCCACTTGTTTTTGCTTTCCCTACGCTCCTGTTGTTGTCTTTCCATTTTTGGTTTTTCCTACGTTCCTGTTGTTGCCTGTCCTTTTTGGTTTCTCCTTGGTTCCTGTTGTTGTCTGTCTTTGATATTTTGTTTCTTCTCGGTTTCCGTTATTGTCTTTCATTTTTTGGGTCCCTTGAGTTCCTGTTTTGTTGTTTCTTTTCTTTTTTAAGTGACTCCTCAGCTCTAATTGTTATCCTTCTCAACCAACTTTGATTTTAAATGGGTTTTTTGTGTGCTTAATCTGTGATATATATGTTTTCTTATTGTTAAATTTGTAAATCGTACGTGTATAAATGCATTCGTTTCGGGTAAATAGCGCATGTTTGTCCCAGCTTATTTGGTATAATATGCAGTGAATTTAGGATCTTTGCAAAAGCGTATGGTTTAAGTGTAATTTTCAAGCTCTGACATACACTGCTTTGCAGAAGTCATTTTTTTTAATTTTAAATGAAAGTTCATTTTGCATTTTGCAAATTGCAATTTAAACGTTGTCTTTGTGTTATGAAGCGTTTGTAATTTACAAAATGTACAACCAGACAAGCTACGCAGGGTATGGTATAATTCTATTGATGGTACAGAAGTCTAAGTGCTGTTCAAATCCGTATCGATATAATCTTAAAATGTCACTTTTAAATTTATCTCAAGTTGTTAAATTTGACACTATTTAGGTCACAAAAGCTTTCGTAAAATCTCAAAATTAAACGAAGAAAAGCAATCAAAAGGGTTTAATATATTTAAACAAGAAATTGATTCAACAAACAATTTGATTTTCTTAAACTTCCGTCACCCCGGAAACGGCTATTTAAATATCGCGTTCTGTCTCGTTCCGTGTCAACATTATGATATACAGATGGCACTTTCCTTAAATATTTCTGTCGCGCATTTTATTTTGTAATTCGTCAAAGAATGTAAATTGGAGGCGATGATCCCTTTCGAAGCCAGACTTTGATTAATCGCTACGAATCCTCGATAAGAACAAATCTTCTCTTTACCTGACCAACAAGTTATAGGTCAGATTTTGACGTCGACCTTTGACCTTTTCGAACAACACATATCAGTACACCCGGTTTGATGGCCGCGTCCCATACAGTTGACCTCAGCTCCCGTCAAACATTTATCAACTCTAAATTGACACCCGAATCAATATTCAGTTATTTTCATATCTGAACAGTTTATTGCCAAATGACGAAAGAGTTCGACCTTGATTTGATGATTACAAAGTTCAATCTTATGCCTACTTTTCATGTTTTTATATTTATTTATGCACGTTTTCTCGTGAATATCGAATATTCTTATTATCGGGTCTCCCAAACCCATTGTCAACGGCACGCTTGCGTGAGGGCATCCGGTGTGCGAGACGTGCTAGATAACAGGCCGATGTACTCGATAAACGCGTTGACGGACACATGGTGTTGAGAGGTTAAGGAAATAACACCATTGGATGTCGCTGACCTTTGACCTTTAACAAACACTCTCTCCTGTCATATCAAAACGTTACATACAATGGCTGTGATCTGTTAAAGAAATTGCATGTCATGTCATATTTGTCTAGCTATCAGACAAATTACAATGCTGTAAAGTTGCAATCTCATAGTTACATTATAGAATCATAAACGTGTGCAAATATTTAAAATCGATAAGTCTTTGATCTGCATTGGTGTCAAATCGTATTGCCTTTCATGTTATTTCGAATTTGAAAAATAAAATCTTGGTGTCACAACTGGTCAGAACAACCGAAAGTGTAAAAATTGTAAAATCAATGGTTGGTTTCAATGAATTTTCTGCACAAAAGTGGGGGGGTTTCTTCATTTTTTTTTTAGATAAAATATGATCATCGAGTTTCATTAACAATATACGGTATGGGAACGAGTTTGAAATTAGTTGGTCAATAAAACAAAACTGACACATGAATTTAAAAACAATTACCAGAAAGTGTTGGCGGAAACTTCACCAGAACCTGATTTCTCAAAGGTCGGTTAGAGTTAACCAGTGGTTAGGGAACTTGAAATATGAATATGACAAAAACAATAACATCTTATTTAATTTTACTGTTACATATTTATTTCACTATGTTAGACAAATAAGATCGGTATTGTCTTTAGGATATGCAAGGTTTTGGCTTTGAAAACCCTTATTTCTTATTCGCAACAATTTGAAATTTCTCCGTCATTTGCTACAAATTCATAATGTCATTATATTGTTCATTTTGACGTCATTTACACAATTTAAAAAAAATCTAAATTAATTGCATGTACATTTTTATTGTTTTAATACATAACACAAACGCTTCAACATATACATGTACTGTACGTTAAAATGTTTTCGCTAGGAAATTAAGCACTTAATTGGACCTATAAATACCAGTTTTATAAAACCATATTGAATATAATCATTAGAACATACGTGGTTTCTTCATAATGATTAAATAATAAAGTTTGGAAAATAGAAGGGGAAACATATTTTTTAAATGGATTTTCAAAATTATAATAAAAAGAGTGATTATATTCTATTGTATCTGTAAAAATTGTTAAAATAAATCATAGTAGAGGTATAGAAGATCAGATGAACTTCTACAATATCGTAGATTCCTTGAGCAGATACCTTGATAGTTGCTGGCATCCGTAAACATAATTTAACGGTTTCGTGTACTTAGCGTTTGATAGATGTCCAATTATCTATCTTCACCTTTCAATGTCGCGGTATTATAAATGGATAAACATGGTTAGAAGTTTAATCTACTAATCCGGGAGATTTCCATATCTTCACACGACGAACACCTGTTCCGAATCTCCGAATTCCGGCTCCACAATGCATTTTATAGTTAATGTTGTACTTCCGACACGACTATGAACCATTGCTACTTAGCATCATTTTGTCCATTTCTCGCCAGGCAAAGAAAAAGGTGATAAATTATGGCACTTACGTTGAAGTTTATATTGAAAGATATAAAATAAATTCACACCTTCTAACTTAAATTGTTAAACAGCTATGTTTTTCACCTTCCCTAATTCGCTCAAATGCTATAATAGTGGATGTGTTCGAACTGGTAATACCTCTAAATCCGTATCGTATTTTATGCAGGTGCTATTTCAGATAAACGAATTTCGTTTAATGCTTTGTGATGATTTGTCCATTACGTATTGTCATCGGGTTTGTAAGATAATCTCAGGGCAAACCCATAAAGAGGACATTATTATGTACGATCTGTAGTATTCACAAGTCCTTTCGTTTTTGTTGCTAATACACAATTTACTACTAGTTATTGTTTGGATGAAATGAAATTTACTCTTGGCATTAATATCATAATCGGGGTCGAAAGCAGCTGATTTCATTTCAATTCAATCTCGTGAACATTTTTACAGAGTTAAGAAAAACTTACAACAGCGTTGTAACAATGCTAAATATGTACGTCATCAAATTAAGGGATTGCCACTCGTACAATTGATAAAAAAACTTCATTGATTTTTCATTAAAATAATATTTTTATGGTTCATATTCTTTTATTAAATTAATTCAGTTTATTCTAACATGAAAATGGGTTTAAATATCTCTGCCCTTACGTGTATGGGTAGCACCACCCCCACTCCCGACTTGCGTGATTAGCAACTGTGCATGTAGGAATGACGAACATATAGACAAGGAGCTTTTTCATTGGTTTAAAATGATGTAATCATGCTTTCGGACTTCATTCCCTGGCCTATATTTCTAAAATGTAGTAAGTGTTGGTTATAAAACCTCTTTAGATATTAATATTAATATTTTTGAAAAATTCGATTAAAAAATATTTACCGAAAAAAACAAAGCTAAATGAAATATATTACTCTTGCAGCTGAGTCATACATTGAATTACTAATATTTCTATGGCTGTCTTGTACAGATGATATATTTCTCGGTTCACATTTTTATTTTGGAAAATAGTCACGTCGTGATCACCGTGCATAAACTATTTCCACTAAGTTGTTTTATTGTAAGATGTACAGTAGTGTCAGTTCCTAAATACTTTCAAAGCTTGCCTGATTAAAAATCAGACAAAGTTAGTAATATAACATTATCAATATTTCTTAGTGATCAATAAATATGCAAAATTGGTAGTTTTTGAGTAGAAAACTATTATCGGAAGAATGATTTTGGGTTGAAAAAAATTAATCGTATTATTAAAATGTTCGAGCAAACATTTTTATCCTTAATTTAGTTGTATTTCAGATTGTGAATACTTTTACCTTTAATACAGTGTGAAGAGAACTAGTGGCGAACTGACAAGTGTCATTTGAAAATTGTGATTACATGTATCATACTTATGTAAGAACTTTGATCGACGAATCTGATTTTGGATTAAAAAGTTAGGGAATCTCGATTAATAATTTGTAATAACTTACAAGCTATCAGGTCATATTTATCAATAGTTTTATTTCAAGGACCTATTAGTAAACAATACCTTTGAGTTCACGTTAAAAAAAAAGGTTACCATCGTATTGACTCAAGTTAAAAAAAAAAGCTACCAAAACCGATACTGGTTTTGCACTCAATATACCGTGGCTAAATAATGATCGGAAGCAAGTTGTTATCTAAGCTTGCATTCATATCTGTCCTTACCAAATGTAGAAAATATTGATATTCAGCTTTTAGACAAAACGAACTGATTTGAAAACTAGCTAGTGTAGTGTAATCTGAAGTGGTTTGTTGAAGTTATCTCCCTTCCACTAACCAGCTGTCACCTGCGGCGTTCTGCGTTGCTACATACCCAGCATAATAGGGAGACATAAACGTTCGTTTTCACTTATCATTCGCCATTACATATATAGCAAAAATTAAATTTATATTGCGAACATTTTTTTTTTATCTTTTCTCGAATGAGTAACATGTGTAGGATAATAAACCGAAAGGTTTCTGTTTACTATTCCCCCGTTTAGAAAACAGTTCTAGATAAAAAGTGTTTTGACTTTCCTTCCGTACGGATGATATCTTGTTTAAATATTGTGAGTATCTTCATCAATTTGATATACGAA